CGCCAGCCGGGCCCGGATCCACACGTAGCCCGGCCCCACCAGCCCGGCCTGCTCCGCCATCTCAAAGAGGTACTCGGCCTCCTGGCGCGAGCAGTAGACGAGGAGCACCTGGGCGTCCAGCTGCCGCAGGAGCCGCTGCGTCCTCGAGCTGCTCTGCTCCTGGCTCATCTCAAAGGTCAGCACGTCCTGCAGCTCCCAGCCGAAGTAGCTGGCGTCCGTGAAGGAGCGGATGACGTCCAGGAAGATGTTGTAGCCCGGGTACAGGCTGGTGATGACAGGGAAGGAGCCCCAGTCGTATTCCTCCAAGACCTTGAAGATCACCTGGATTTGCTGCTCGATGGAGACGCCCAGCTGAAGGAAAGCCGAGCCGGGCTCCTGTAGGACATGATGAGCCCGGTGGGAAGAAGAAGGGGTGAGGGACTGGTTTGGCACTCAGGGCCCTGTGGCCCTTCATATCCCTGCAAACCTTGAATTCACCACTGAGAGGAGTTTGGGGGGCTGAGAGCCGGTGCAGCCCAAGGGCTGGAAACACCAAAAAATGAGACCAATGCGTCCCTGTGCTCTGTCACCTCTTCTCTACCCCTTTCCAGGATTACTTCTCCCTTCGACCAAAATTCATCCAGCAGTTTCCAAAGCAGACCAATAATTTCCCTTTAAACCATGAGAGCAAGGGGGGGCAAATACTCTGCCGGCTGAGTAAACCCCGTTCCAGCCTCCGGACCGCGACCTGCTCCCGGAGCCCCTCGGCTGCGCCTTCCCTCCCACCCCACCTCCCCAGCCATCTGGCCTCTCATTAGCAAATCTTAATTGATCTGATTCCGTCTTAAATGATTCAGTGAACGGCATTTGCAGAAGGTCGCGAAAAGGCAGCAGCGTTTTGCCGTGCAGACCGCCTCCATCGCCAGCAAAGTGTTGTTCCTCCGGAGGTGTTGGTCCGCGGGTGAATCCCCGGGGGATTCATCGCAGGGGAAGGGGATCTGAGATGCGGGTGAGGAAGAGGAAGGTAGGCCTTCGAAAGGGCCCCCCCCCCACCACCCCCGGAAACATGCACCCTAGAGCAGGCTGCAGAAAACCACCTAGCCTGCAGCAAAGTGACGGCTCTCTTACAGCCCCTTGGGGCTAGGTCTGAGCCCGCTGCACCCGCCGCCATCCACCCACGGCTGAGCGCAGGCTCGGGGCCGCCGGGGGCTTGCCCTGGG